CGGCAGAGCTTCATGATGCTCCAAGTGACACGTGCATCTAGGCGGCAACTCGTCTTCATCCATGACACCCGTATCGACGACTTCCACTTCAGCATCGTTGATTTCTGTCGCTGAGCTGGAGCAATTTGAAGACCCTGGAAGAGGGAGTACCTCTACCCCTAGCCGTGACGGCGATGGCGTCTTTCCTCCTCCTCCTCCTCCTCCTCCTCCTCCTCCTCCTCCCCCTCCGACTCGAACCACGGTGGAGTGCGGGTCGAAGCCGCTGCCATTCATGCTCGCCGGATGCACGTCGGCCGCCATAGCTATTTGGCTGAGAAGGTCATTCGGTGCCCTTTGATGACGAGGATGAGCGTGATGTGCAGGAACTCGATGATGATGACGTGATTGAGCAGGAGGAGGAGGAGGAGGAGGAGTGTGATTAGCATCATCATGATGATGATGATGAAGCTGATGATCATGCCGATGATGATGATGATGATGATGATGATGACCATTGACAACGCCTTCCACGTCGAAGGAGAAAGATCCGCTCCTCATGCTATCCAACCGAGGGATCTCTCCAATCCGTCCCCCGCCATCACCTCCACGATCATTTCGTGGGGGAGAAACACCCACAGAGAGAGGAGGAGGAGGAGGAGGAGGAGCAGGAGGAGGAGCAAGGGAGGGATGAGAACCATCTTCATCCAACTGCATTCCCTTCGCTATGGCGCTTGTCAGACCGCAGCCTGTTCCGGCAGACACCGCGACCCCCTCATACTCCATACCCATGCTTCCGCTGCTCGTTCCTCCTCCTACTCCTACTCCTCCTCCTCCTCCTCCTCCTGCTGCTCCTTCCTCCTCTCCTTGGCTTCTCTCTCTCCTCCCATTTCGTCTTCCTCCTCCTTCACTACTTCTCCCATCACTTGACATTCGAAACGTCTCCCCTCCTCCTCCTCCTCCTCCACTCTCTCCCCCTCCTCCTCCTCCTCCCCCATCGCTACTCACATTATCTATTCCGTCATTGGCAATATCCCTCGCATTCAAGTCTAGCCCCCCTTTCCCTCCCCCCGACGCAATTCGCCGCTCCTCTGCCTTCTTGTTCCTCCTCTTCACGTAAAACTTCGGATAGTACTTGCTCGTCCCACATGGGCAGCGGTTGTTAAGGCAATGAAAGCATCGAGTCTCATCCTGCCGCCACACGGTGGGCCCAC